ACAAGATACAAGGTAATTTCTTAACTATTGACATTTTATAAGATATAAACTCATTTTGATGTTACACTCATCGAGACCTTTCATTTGAGTACCTACATCAATTTTTCATATATTTTATGAAAAATATATAAAAAATGCATGTGAGTATTCAAATGAAAGCTCTTGATGAGTGTAACTAAGCTCAGGATGAGCTTATATCTTTAAAAATGTCAATAGTTTACAAGATATTTGTTAAATTGAACTGTACTTTCTTAAACATTGACCTTTTTAAAGATATAAGCTCATTCTGATGTTACTCTCATCGAGACCTTTCATTTGAGTACCCACATTAATTTTTCATATATTTTATATATTTATATATATGTATATATGAAAAATATATCAAAAATGCATGTGGGTATTCAAATGAAAGCTCTCGATGAGTGTAACATCGGGATGAGCTTATATCTTCAAAAATGTCATTATTTAAGAAAGTACAGTGCATTATTATTAACTCTAAAATTGACTAAATAAATAATAGATTAATTTAAAGCTCCAATTAAGTCCAAAAACATTTTAAACCCTAAAAAAGCACCCTAAATAAAAATTTCACCAGCATAATATTATTTTTATCCTAAAAATACAATCTACATAATTATTTCCACCATAAATAACCAGTATATACCAGTACCAGCACCATGGACCCAAACTAATAAATAAAAAAAAATCATTATCAATCTATACCTATAGCATTGGGCAAAATAATTTTTTCTTTAGTGTCTGCGTGCTTCAATTTATTTGTTTCAAAAGTCTCAACGCCGTGAATTAAATCAGAGTGCTGTCTTTCTTGTCTCACATCTAATTACATCATAATAAATAAAAAATAAAAAATAAAAAATAAAATAAAATTATAATAAACAATATTAATTAATAAAAATAAAAAACAAACCTTCTGCAGAGGGTAAAACATTCTTAATAAAAGTCTCAGCTTTCTTCATGCAGTCGTGCTTAAATCCTTCAAGCTCGCTCTTGAGGTCCATCGACACCTTGGGCAAGTCTTTGAGAGATGGGCTCACTGCGTTCGACATCTTCAATTAACGTTAATTACCTGCAATTAAAAAGATTGTTACAAATTTGTGGAAGCAAATGAGAAAATAACGGATCGTATTATATTATATAGTCTTTGTAATTGTATGTCATGTCCAGATTTGAGCTCCGTTCTACTGTATACTACTGAGATTGCCTCTACTCATTATATCCTGCATGCTCTTTGTGTGAGTAATATCTCTATACATAGCGCAATATAATAATAATAATAATAGTACATACTTGTATCAACATCTACAAATACATATTTATTTTCCTCCTGACACAAGTTTCAGAATAACGGCAGTGTGCCGCGTTGAATTTATTATCAAGACTTATAAGATGTTTTTTAAATTATAATTAACCATTAATTTATTTCATACATACTTATGTACTTATACTGATTTTCTGATAATTTTAAATGGTTAATATTCTACTCAATTATTTATAACAAATCTTTAGTTATATAGAACCTTGCTTGATCATCAAGCCTTATATGTTTCAAAACTGGATGCCTATATATGGACAATTCGAATGAGGTTGAATATAAATATATATACATATACATATATATATATAGAAACTGCTTTGAGTAAATAAGATCATTTTTGAATAATTTTTTTTTTTTAAGTAAAGAAAATCTTTTTTTATCGCAGTGATAAAAATTATGATTCATAGCACTGGATGTTAGATCCGATTATTTTTTTATTGTATATAAATATAAATATTTATTTAAAAATTTTTATAGATATTTTATTTAATTATAAATAATCAATTTTATGATTAATAAATTTTTTAGTTACTTATTGACATTTTAAAAGATATAAAAGATTTAAAAGATAAGTTCATGTTGATGTTATACTCTTCGAGACCTTTCATTTGAGTACCCACATCACTTTTTCATATATTTTATATATTTATATATATTATATATATGTATATATGAAAAATATATCAAAAATGCATGTGGGTACTCAAATGAAAGCTCTTGATGAGTGTAACATCAAAATGAGTTTATCTCTTGAAAAATGTCGATAGTTAAGAAATGACCTTGTATCTTGTGAACTATTGACATTTTTAAAGATATAAGCTCATCTTGGTGTTACACTCATCAAGACCTTTCATTTGAGTACCCACATCAATTTTTCATATATTTTTATATATTTATATATATTATATATGTATATATGTATATATGAAAAATATATAAAAAATGCATGTGGGTATTCAAATGAAAGCTCTTGATGAGTGTAACATCGGGATGAGCTTATATCTTTAAAAATGTCAATTTTTAAGAAAATATAGTGTATTATTATTATTATTAACTCTAAAATCGACTAAAAAAATAAATAAATTAGTTTGAAGCTCCATTAAAGTCCAAAAACATTTTAAACCTTAAAAAAACACCTTTGATAAAAAACCTCACCACCTTAACATTATTTTTATCCTAAAGAAAATTATAAAAATTTTCAAACAATAAATGTTAAAATTAATTATAATCTTATCAATAAAATTTCTTCATTAAAAAAATCATCAGAAATCTGCTTTAAATTCTAAAAAAAGAGCTGACTAATAAATAAATAAATAAATAAATAAATAAATAAAAATTTCTACAGCAATAAATCTCGATCAATAAAATAGCACATTGTAAAGTAATTACACATGAAGATGAATAATAAAATGTGTAACTGCAATGTAAGTAGCAACTAAACCGCTTAGTTATTATTATCGATGCGTGTGACCATGACGGTTAACGAACTTTAGTGTCGAGTGTTGTATTATGTGGAAGATCTGGCAGTTTAGTTTTGACTTTAACAGATATATAGATATCTACAGAATATCATCGACCGGTTGTTGTAATTCAACACAACAGTTACACCTATATGCTATACTACATACACAAGTACTTTGTTTGTGTGCCGATGATTCAACTTTACTTCAATGTATCACGTATGTACCGTATTTACAAGTATTGTGCTGCGTTGTTGATTTTATTTTATTTCTTTAATGCGCATTTTTTTAAATTTACTCAGCCTGTGAATAAAAATAAAACCGCTGATTATTACAATAACAATTACAATAAATTTTTATTTTTCCAGCTCCAACTCTGATTATATTATTATTATTATTATTATTATCCTAAAATTCGGTGCGTAATAGATGCGTCATCATTCCCATAAATTTACTGTTACAATATTATCATTATATATAATAAAAAATAAATGTTTAAGAAGAAACAATAGAATTATTGTTTGTTATTAATTTAACAAAGGACTTTAAAAAACAAATATATTTTTTTTTAGAGCGTAACTGCGGCAATTCGAGCCGGGGAATAAAAGCGTAACGAAATTAAAATTACGTCTCGTTAGTTGAGATAAAAAAATGCTTCCTAAAGTTATTTAAAAAAAAAAGAAATTGTCAATAATTAATTTAATTTCAATGAAAGTAAATTGAATTAGAAATAAAAAAATACTTTTAAAAAATTGCACGGATAATTTTTCACATTTTTTACATGTGGAATTTTTAATTTTTTTGTAATGATTTTATTAATAAAAAAAATTCTTAAAACTGTCAGCTATCTCCTAATTTTATTTTCATTTAATTTTAATAGAAAAAAAATAAATAAACGTATCCTGTAGGCGAGTGGTGCATCGTTTTCAACCACGCCCTTGTCTCCAGATATATTTTTCGACAAAAACCACGCAGGAGTTCATTACACAGACCAACATCTGCTTGTTATTTTATTTTTTAAATTATTTATAAATAAAAATGAGTAATTATTTTATCTTCTTTGTAATTTTATGCAACTGATTAAATTTATCTGAAATTATGTCAAATTATTTTTTAAAAATTAAAATACTCTAAAATTTTTCTAAAAAAATATTCTCACTTTTTTAAAAAATTAATTAATTAAATAAAATATAATTAATAATTAAAAAAAAAAAATTACTGACCTGTCAAAATAATTCCCAAAAGTAAAACAAGTAAAAAACTCGTTGTTGTAACAATAATTCAACAATTGAAATTAAAAAAAGAACACTTTGATCTGGCAGTTCACAGAATGCAGGATGGGAAAACACTGAGTGTATTTTATTTGGCTGGTACACTTACTCGGACGTTCTCTTGTAGCTGTTGTATCTCAACTCCGGCTAGTCGGTATAATATAATGTTTAATGTGCACTATACTAGTTGGATCTGGGATCTGATCAGTGAGTGTGTGAGTGTGAGTGTCTGTTCTTGCTTGGATACCATAGAGCGCTCGGGCTTCAATACATCCTCTCCCCTCTCTAACTGCGATTCGGAATGTACAGCTGCCAATTGGAGTGCTCGCTCGGGCCCCCGCTTTCGCCATTTTCTTTTTGTTTTTTTTTTTTTAATTTAACATCCCTCCTAAAAAAGAGCGATGTGTCACTGGCGACTACCCTAGTCATATCCTGCCTGCTTATCCTTTTGCTTTACAGTTTCTATAAATACTAATCATTTGTATTCCTGTTACCCTACTGTCTACTGAACAGCCATTTCACTTTAATACTCATGTACATGCTTTAGCTGAATAATCATGTGAGTATTTTTTTTTTGAAAAATAAATGTTTTTTAGGATGCTGAAGTTAGCTGACAGCTGTCATTTTTTTTTTTTTTTAATCTAATTATAGTGAAGGTAGCTGACAACTGTCATTTTTAATTTTAATTTTGCATTTTTTTATGATTAATTTCGCAGATATTTGATAATTTAAAAAATTTTTGTAATAAATAAATTATGAAAAAAAAAAACATGTAGAAATTTTAGAAAATAAAAAATGCAATTTTTTAAAAGTAATTTTTTTGAAAAAATTTGTTTGTTAAAAAAAATTAAAAAATTGTCAAGTGACAGCTAAATTTAATGTCATATTTTTTTATTCAATTTTTAAAATAATTTTATTGTTATAAAATTATAAAAAAAAATTATGAAAATTAAGTTAGCCGTTATTTAAAAATTTTTGGAATTTTTTTTTTATTAAAAAAATTATTCCAAAATAAAAAAAAAATTTTTTAGTTATTATTTAATGAAAAAAAAAAAAAAACAAAAAATGGCTAACATTATTATAAAAAAATTGTTAAATAAATTTACTAGTGTCTTGGATTTTTATCAATAAATTTATTGATTTTGATTACTTAAATAAATATTCTAGCTGATAAGTTGTTTATTACTTGAAATAATTCAAGTGTAAATCATGTATGAGTCATACTTTATTACTTTATTTTTTAAAGATAAAGAATTAATTCAAGATAATTTAAAGATGTTTAAGGATACTTATTAAATAAAAAATATATTCAATACAATTGATGATTTTATTGATAAATTCAGTTTTAATTTAATTCACATATTACGTATTTTCTTAATCAATATTGTTAATTAAGATTATATACAAAAAAAATTGGTCATTAATGATTTTAATCTTTTCTTCTTTCCGAAATAAAAGTATGAAAAAAAAAAAAAATAGACAAATATACAAAACTTTAAATGCCTATACAATACTTAAGAACATTTGGATTAATTATTAGTCATGAATAAATTTATAAATTTATTTTCAGTGGTCAATTTAAGTCGGTAACAATTTAACTGAATTTTATATGAAGAAATTATTTTAATAAGTAGAAAATAGAAATATTAATTTCATCAAAAACAGAGTAATTAAAAGTAATAGCCTTTTATTTAGCCAACTTGAACGCTTGATAAGTAATGAATTAAATTAATAGATTACAATACACTCACATTAAGTTATTTAAATGTCAAATTGACTTTCAAAAAATTTAATATCAATAAACTGATTTAATAATTAAAGAAAAAGGCTTAGTCTATGTTAATTTAGGTTTACTTAATTAACCTACATTACTCTGAATTGTATTATTATTTAATGGTTTTATTTTAGGTTTTTTTTTATCAGAATATAAAAAAGGTAGCGTTCAATCTTCTTTGTCTTCATTACTTTGAGGTGACTTTACACCATTCATTGGTGATCGTGAACGACTGTGGCTTTTGCTGTGTTTGCTTACTGATCTTGATCGTGATCTGTCACCTCTTGAACGCTCACGGCTTGAACGTTCCCTAAAAAAATTAATTTGAAAAATTTTTTTATAAAAATTTAAAACAAAAATTAATAATGGTAAAAAAAAAATTTTTTATAAAATTTAAAGCAAAAAAAAGTAATTAAAAAAAATTTGCTTATAAAATTTCAAATAAAAGTTAATTATAAAAAAGAATCAATTTAAAAAAATCTTTTCATAAAATTTAAAACAAAAAGAAATTAATTAAAAAAAAAAATTTTTATAAAACTTGAAACAAAAATTAATTATAGTAAAAAAAAAATTATTAAATGTCTATTTATTTCTAAATCATTAAAAAAAATCAATTTATTTACTTTGAAGGTGATTTAGCTTTTGATTTCGACTGAGATCGTGATTTAGATCTTTCATTCTTAGATCTAGAGCGAGATCTAGATTTAGACTTAGACTTAGAACGGTCTCTAGACCTGGAAAAATTTAAACAAACACATAAATAAATTAGAAAAAGATTCTATTGAATCAAAATTTATAAAGAAAAAAAAACTTACTTTGACTTTGAACGTGAACGGCTGCGCTCAACAGACTTGGACTTTGATTTGGATTTAGATTTCGAGTGTGCTCGAGATTTGGAGCGACTGCTACGGCGACTACGGCTGCGAGAGCTGCGGCGACTTCTGAATAATTCAAAAAAAAAAAATTTTAACTCATTAATATTGATAAGAGAATTTGAAATTTATACAGTCAAATGATAGGATTTGAAATTACCGTGAGCGAGAGCGTGAACGACGACGGGAACGTGAGCGTGATCGTGAGCGGGATCTAGAGCTTGACGAGCGGGAACGACGTCCTCTCCTCTTATCTTCGATCAGATGGATTCTTCTTCCGTTCAGCTCGGTGTCATCCAGCTTGTCGATGGCGTTCTTCAAGTCTGAGTAGGTTGCAAATTCAACAACTCTGTAATTAAAATTAATTTATTAATTTTATGCAAATAAAAAATTTTAATAATTATTATTTATACTGCATTCGAAAATGCTCTATCTCTAGATACATAATTAAGAAATGACCTTGAATCTCGTAAACTACTGACATTTTTAAAGATATAAGCTCATCCCGGTGTTACACTCATCGAGACCTTTCAATTCCCATTTTTAAACTATACCTTCTATCGACTCCAAATTTGGTAGGAATCTTTTGTAAGAGATGTAGAAATAATCTATGAACGAATTTTACGATATCTCACCCCCATAAGGGGTCGCGGGGTTGGGTATTAACAATGAAAATTTTTAATTTCCAAGCTATAGCTCCTATAGACTTCAAATTTAGTAGGAATCTTCTATATGTGATATAGAAATGATCTAAGAATGGATTTTACAACGAATCACCTCCATTAAGGATCGCGGGAGTGGGTGTTGACAGTAAAAAATGTTCATTTCCAAAATATAGCTTCTGAAAACTCGAAATTTGGTAGAAATCTTTTATTTCTCCTGTAAAGATCATCTCAAAATGAATTTCAATAAAGTTTACTTCCGATAGAAATTGCGGGGGTGGGTGTTAAAATCTAAAATTTTCGTTTTCAAACTGTAACTTCGACAGACTTCAAATTAGGTGGGAGTCTTCGTGTATCATGTCAAGTTCAGCTAAAAATGGATTTTATCAATCCCAAAAGACAAAACCCAAAAGGGGCTGCTAAGGCGTTAATGATGAAAATCTCTCTTTTCAAAACAATAGTTTCTATGGGCTCGAAGTTTTGTTGGAATATTCTATTTATAATGTAAAAATCATCTCAAATAGGATCTTACGAAATTTCTCTCTCACAAAGGAGTGCGGGAGTGATAGTTGTCAAAAAATTCATATTCTTCAAATATATTTTCTACAGATATAAAATTTCATAGTATCTCAAGAGAAACAGGTAATTATAGGGATGGCCTCCAAGGTCAACAGATTAAAATATTTTTCTTTTTTAATAATTATATTTTCTTACGACAATCGTCTCTTTGGCAGCGGCGAAAGTCATTGTAAGATTTCTAAAATTTAACTTTACATGTAGCTATATAGTCAACGGATTAAGTATTTTGTATACATTTTATTATTGCTGATCACATAACCGATGAATTGTTCTTATTACGTGATCACGGGAATGTAACAGATTAAAATGAATACATTTTCTGAATCCTTGAGATGTAGAAAAGAAATTTGGCTACACGAAGAAAAAAAAAACAACACTAATTACTACTTTGTGCAGTACTCAGTACTGCTTTGAAAGAAAATGAGGTTAGAATGTTTGGGACAGTAGAGAGCGCTACATAAAAACTACTGACTATTGTCTGCATATTACTGAGTCGTGTTCTGGCACGAACCAGTCGTGTTTCGTACAGCGCTCACTACTGACTATGAACATTTTTCTAATATTTGTACGAAACAGTAATCATTGCTGTTTTATTTTCTCCGTGTACTCATTTTAAGAGATTTAGTAAAATCAAATATTAAAATCGTAAATCCAAAAATTATTATTTATTTTTGGAGAAAGCCACGGGAATGTTATAGTGATTGCACATTGAAAGTTACAATAGATATTCGCTAGAATGATGACATGGATAAAAGGTTCAGGCCAATCCAATAGAATTTGGAATCTGTGCAAGTCAAAACAATACTCCGATTGAATTTCAAGTCTAGATCTCAAAATACAATTCTATAAAATTCCCAGCGGAGCGGGCGGGTGACAGCTAGTATATGTATATATGAAAAATGCATGTGGGTACTCAAATGAAAGCTCTTGATAAGTGTAACATCAGGATGAGCTTATATTTTTAAAAACGTCAATATTTAAGAAAGTACAGTGTAATTTAACAAAAGTAATTATTTAATAAAGCAAAATTTTAATTTTCTTTAATAATTATTAAATAAAAAAAAATATATTTACCCTTCATTACGACGTTGTTTGTGAGCATCAGCATAAGTAACTTCTCCAGCTTGTCTCATGTAATCTTTCAAATCCTAAGCATCACGTAAACAAACAATAAATTATTAAAAAAAATTCAAACAATATAATAATAAAATTAAATTAATATACTTGATATTTGTTTTTAAAATTTGTGGTACTAATCTACTTGTTCCGAAGTTTGTTGTGCACTTAAATTATCTCTTGGCTCTTCAATAGAATATAGACTTAACAATCCTTATCTTATAAGTACTATGTCGTGCAATATGCTCGAATTTAGTTATAAAACGCAATTCAACTTTTCTTTAAATGCAATCCAATCAAGTTATTAAATATTATTTTGTCTTTTTAATTCAACATGCAATCTACAGTATTAATAACCCAGAGAATAAATAAAATTTGTGAATAAAAATGGTCATTAACAACGGTGGCATTGGAATGGTAAAAAGATCCTCCATTTTTTCTTTTAAATAATCATCATTTATCCCTTTATAATAATTCCTTCAACCAGTAGAGCCTCTTGGCCTTTTATCGATAAAACGGTCCATTCCTTATCTGATTGATACTGATATGTTCGTGGGTACCAGGTACGGCTTTTTGCGGATGTAAGCTTGTTATTTATTTCTTCTTTATTTATTTCATCTTCTTCCAAAGGTTAATTTCAATTATCAATTGTTTGAAGTGTTGTTTTTTTTTTTTCTTTTTCTTACTGTCGGAAAATTTTATATTATTGTCTTGCATTGTCAAGAAAAGTTGATTAAAATCACGAATTATAATTAATTAAAATTATTATAAATAATTTTTAATAATTGTTTTATCAACATAATTATTAAAAATAATTTTTTTTTATATAAAAATTTTGATTTTTTTTAAAATAATTTTTATCTCGATAATTAATAATAAAAAATATAAATTTAGTCTAATTTCGAGCACTATACATTATGTATAAAATATTAGTTTTCTACAAAAATATTACGCTGATATTGGATTAATGTTTGATGATGTGTGTCTTGCCAATATAAAATATTTAGCATAATCACCATAATAAATCACCAATGCTAAACAATAAAAAAAATATACCTGTTAAATAATTATTTAATATGTGCACAGAATTGTTAATAGTATTAAAAGTATAAAATAATTAATATTACAAATTTAAAAGTAGATATTGATTTTTAATAATTTATATTAATATATATTTATATTTATATATATATATAGATATAAATAAGTATATATATGATATGATGATTAAAAGTAGTTTGTATAAACCTATATCTAAAAGAACACTCGGTTAAGGTGACGCATTTACCTTAGGCCCAGGCACCACCTTGTTTACAGACACAGAGAGAAAGGCCAGACACACGACGTTTGGTCGGTGGGGGTCGAACGGATCAGTGGCACCTCGACATTGCACCACCGTGTTTGCCTTCTCATGGGGAGGATGCCTCGCTGTTTGCTTTCAATTATTAGACGATGGTACCACACTTAGCAGCCGTAGTTGTTGGTATTGATAATGATTATAATTACAGAACCAAAACCAATAACAATAATAATGAAGATTCAATGTTCGGTTTAATGGTTAATTATTTTTAGTTTTTTTTTTTTACTTATTTTTTTTTTTTTTTAATTATCATATTTCTTCTTTTAAATACGACATACGTTAATTAGGAATTTTTGAATGAGTTATGGCTGATAGTGTTGGGCAATAATTATTATTTTTAATTTTTTATTATTATTAATAAAAAAAAAATTTTTTTTAATTGTAAATTTAATAAAAAATCAATTTTTCAATAATTAAAAAAAATTCAATTTTTCAATAATTAAAATTAATTAAACTGTTTAATAAGTGAAAATAATTATATTTTTTAATAATTGAAAATAATTAAATTTTTCAATAATTAAAAAAAACCAATTTTTTGTATAATTATTAATAAAAAAAATTATAATTTTAATAATTATTTAAACAAATTAAATATTCAAATATTTAATAAAAAATTAAATTTTAAAATTATTAATTAATTATAAATAAAAAAAAAAAATTGATTTAATGAATTTTGAACTGCCCAACACTGATAGTGAGTAATGATATAATGAAGGATAAAACATATTGAAAAAAAAATGAAGATTAGTAAATGTAAGTAAAGAAGAAATGGATAAAAATGATTGAAAGTAATGAGTGAGAGACAATATAATAATAAATATTGTTGATGCATTTGAATGTCCTGGGTGTGTGGAAAGAACTCGTGAATGAAAACCAGCTCCACTGGTCAGGCAGGTCTGGTTTGGAATGTCAACTACGGAGCGATAATAATGATCATCATTCATCACTATCCCTGGGAGAGGTGGCGAAGCTGAGGCGAGGGTGGTATACCTGGTGCCGGTATGCCTTGGCTTAATATTTTATTCGTAGGTATGAAGCTTATAGCTTAAATAGATTTCATCATCATGATCATCCAGCCATGCGACCCCTTGACACCCTGGGTATCGCAACTCTGGCGGCACTTGTACCTCGGCCCGATCGTCACGTGAGCCTCGTCATCTCTTAATCGAACAGTCAGTCTATGGCCCTACCGCCCGGTCACCTCCACGGCCAAGAGGGGCTCTTCGGAAAGAACATCAATTAAATACGTATTTTCCCAACTGCTGGCCGAACGTAAATAAAATTTAAAACAAGTTAATAGCAATAATTACAAAACAAACATATATTTGCCGATTATTTTTTTTTCTTTTAACTATTTAATTTAGTTCAACGCTAAATAATAATTGCACGAATTTTTGTTTCAATAAAATAAATCAAAAGCTCAACGACTGTCTGGTAATTGATCAAGTAAGACTTGGTGTATCCAAATACATTAATTCCCAGGTGATTATTTTTCGATTCTCCAGAATTGTCCAGACAGATTTCCTGCGTCCTGGTATTTCCCACATTGTCCATGGATCCATGGCTTTTGGATGTCCCTCTCATCTTTGGATTTTATTGATGGTCTGTCATCATTAGGGCCAGAAAGGTGCCGCTTTTTTCTTTGTTCAATTTGAGGTTAAACATATGAATGCTCATGAGCCTTCTAGGCGTTTCCCTAACTCTTGGTGAAATGCCCCCTTCTACATTTACTTTACACGCTGCCTAATCCGGTCCCATTTAGTCCAACTTCAGTGTTAAAGGGTTAAACAACTTAATAATAATTTATCCTTCTATCAGTATAATTTCCACATTACTCATTAAAATCATTAATTGAGTTTTCTTTTGGATTTGGTTCCATTTTTCTGATTTCTGATTTTTTATAAAATATTTCTGGTCTCTGAGATAATTTCTCTTTCTTAAAATTTTTTGTGGAAATAATTTTTTATTAATATTATTCAGTGATATTTTTGTCTAGAAAAAAATGTATTTTAGCTTTCTAACTTCCAGGATCTTACTTGATCAACGTACATCGATATTGTGATCTATCTAAAGGGATTTCTTATAAATAAACTGAGGATAAATAAATTTATAAATTTTTTAAACCGACAAATTATTACAGATTTTACCACGGTAAAATAAATAATTATTCAATTATCGTGCATGTTGTTTGGTAACAACTTTTAACCCGGATTACGAAAAATAAATTTAGTAATTTAAATATTTTTTTTAAAACTTACCTGCCAGCTAACGCGGCTTGATAGATTCTCCACTGTCAAACGATACTCGGTCCTGGTTGGTGGTCCATATCTAAAAAATAGTATTTATTAATTATTTTTGAATTTTGTATTAATATTAATAAATGAAGAAATGAAATTTAAAGATCAAAAATTAAGAGAGTTTTAATTTAAAAATGAATTTAGAGAAGAAATAAAAAGTATAGTGAAAGTTAGTTAATAGATAATGGTGATAATGATTTTTATGTACCTGGGCAATGATTGCTTGTAGCTAGATGCAGTCCTTGTGTTTCTGTTCACACTATCTCTGCAAAAAGGGATATTATGTGAACAGAAATAACGGATAGATGGCTAAACCTCCGGCAAATAACTACAGATCAGCATTCATTGCTCAAGCACACAATTATCAATCATCTATTCATTCAATCTATTCAATTCAAATCTAATTAATTTATTTTATTATTAACGATGCTAGTGATCATACCTGTCGTGCCGCATATCATCTCGACTGCAACAAACATAATTCCAATAAACTATTAGTCAATTTTGAAATAATATTTTGCCTAACTATTAATTTATTTTCAAGATTATTTTTTTTATTTTTTTAAAAAAATTCTACTTTTGATTTTAATTAAAAAAAATTCTAAATAATGTAATCAATGATTGAGACCCGTAAATAAATGCCAAAGGTTTGCTCATCTTCCAACTTATTATTAAACACAATATTATTATAATTTTTTCAAGATTATTTTTTTTATTTTTTTAAAAAAATTTTACTTTTCATTTTAATTTAAAAAAAAATTCTAAATACAACAATCAATGATTGAGACCCATAAATAAATGCCAAAGGTTTGCTCATCTTCCAACTTATTAATAAACACATTATTATAATATTTTTTAAAGAGTAATTTTTGATTTTTTTTACCAATACAAAGAATAAGGAAAAAAAAAAAAAAATAAAAAAAATAAGCTTGTCTTACGCAGATCGTCTCGAGTCCCCGTAACCACCACGGGAGTCACCATAGCGCCACTGGTCACTACCCCTAGGTGTTCCCCGGGCCCTCTCTACAGTAATTCTGTAACAAGACACATTGGTATGCTTACTTGTCTCTCCAGGAGCGTGAGCGTCCGTAGCCACGGTCGCCTCGTCTCCCTGAAACACCCCGTGCTATCTCGACCGCCACTCTGAAACACACCCAACAAAACCCCGCCTAAGTCCTCGACTATTTTAACTCAAATGTACCTTCTTCCCAATATTCCACTCTTCATACGCTCAGGTATTTAATTTTATTCAGTTTATTCATTACGACAGTACCCAAAATTCACGTTATTTATTTTATGTTATTAATTGATTAAAAAAAATCCGGTATTATTATTTTAAATTAAACATGGAAATTAAAGATTAATTATTAAAAAAAAAAAAAATTATTAATTAAAATAATAAACACGAGAATACACTCGGGGAGTTGATGGTAGGCGTTCAAAATGGCGGTAAAGTTTATGGATGTCAATTTAAAATTGTATATCGTCAAGCACGTTAATTTATAAAAAAAAATCATGCCTACGTTATATACATTTGTTGATAATTATACATTTATATATCTAATCAATTAATATATATCCACTCTAATGAAACTAAAACCATAAGACACTTGAAATTTTAATTTTTTTTTTTTTCAAATTTAAAAAATTTATTTATTAAAAAAAAAAAATATTTTTAAAAATTTACAAAAATTTCTTTTCTAATTTTTACAAAAAAAAAATTTTTTTCAACATTTTTAAAATTTATTTATTAAAAGAAAAAATTATTTTGAATTTTATCAATTAAATTTTTAAAAATTAATTGAATAAAAAAATTATATTAATCAAGTCTCTTTTAATTTAAGTATCATAAATATTAAATATGAATATAAATTATTAATTAAAATAAAAAATGTATGGATTCATACCTTTCGCCCAGTAGTTCTTTACCATTGAGCTCGTAGACTGCGTCATCGGCATCTCTGTAGTCGTCAAACTCCTAAAACACAAAATAAAATTATAAATATTAAACAACAAATGATCCTGAAGCTAGCAAACACTTAATAAAAATTTTTAAAAATATTTTTGGAGGTAAATTAATTAAAAAACAACAAATAAGCTAGCTTCAGTATCACGATACAGAAAAATAGATCACATAAATAATTAAACAGCTGATATATAATATTGATATAAAAATATTAGTCATAGATAAACAAATATCAGACTATTCGTCGTGGCCTTACCCATACAGAGCACATCAAAGCCAGTCAAACAAACAATTGTTTCTCAGAATGAAACGAGCGATCATTTAGCTGACTTTGGTTTAATACTTACAACGAACCCGTAGCCGTTCTTGATAAGAACATCACGAAAACGACCGTATCCTCTGAAAAACCTCTCAAGGTCTCTCTCCCTGGTGCCGTATGGTAGACCACCGACATAGACCCTTGTCCCTACCATGCTGTAAAAAAAAAAAAACGATTGAACGAGTTAAACTTACCACGAAAGCATATCCATTCTTCATTGCGACCTCCTTGATTCTTCCGTATTTCCTAAAGAACTTCTCGAGGTCGCGCTCTCGCACCCGGTATGTTAATCCTCCAACAAATACTCGCGTGTTCATTCTTAAAGTAAAAAATTAAGATACCTTACATAACAGGCCCAACAACCTGCCTTTTTTATTTTACTTCAATTACTAATTACTACCATCATTATGATGATAGTAATCAATCATTTATTACCAATTATTAGCAACTTTGGAGTGTCCTAATCTCTCCAACAGCAGCATACAGTTTATTATTATTATTATTATTATTTTTAAAATACTCTACGCAATTTTTTTTTTTTTTTTTCATTATTAATTAACAACAAATTTTATTTTGCCTGTAGGCAACTGATGGAGACTCATGATGCTCAAATCACCAATGACTTTTTTTCGGCTTTATTTACAAAATAAATTAATACAAAGAAAACTATTTTTTTTTAATATTAGGAATTTTTATTTCTTTATAATAATTTATTTAGATCAAAAAATCGTGAAAGTTATCAAATGCCTGATGATTAAAAGTATCATGATTTATTAGAAAATTAATTTATTAAATATTTCTAACCACGTGAGCAATTTTTTAATTTTAAATAATTACAACTGACAAAAATTTAGTCAAGTTAATTTAATGGAATTATAAATCTTTATGCGCCATTACTACTCAATGTTATTATTATTATTTATCGCAACGGAATAATGATTGATAATGCATCACCTTGGACTGGATGACTTTAATTTTTAATTATTTACCATAAAATAAATATTTTTTTTTATTAAATAAATATTTTAAAAATAAAATTTGTTAGAGAAATTTTAGGATGCTACTGTAAAATTTACATGAGTAGAAAAATAAAATTAAAATTTATTATATATATTTTTTGGTAAATAATCAATTTTTTTTTATTTAAAAAATATATTCTAACAATTTATATTAAAACGCAATAAATACCTGAATGTGTTTTGTTAGCAAAGTATTGAACTTCAACGTCTAAAATTGGAATTTATGTTTTTTTCAAACACTCACTTTAATTTTTACAAAATTATTATTGTAACGATAAAAATTCTATAAATATTAATCGAACATTAATGAACAAGCTGACTTGATCACTTGAAAAACGGCGAGTCCAAGTTCAAGATGGCCACGCGTCAGTAACACAACTACGGCTTTTAGACGGGGCTTACAGGAGTAACAACACGGAGTCCTGATGAATCTCGACGTAAGTTTCCCGCGATAATGCTACTAGCGCCATGTGTTATGGGCGGGAGTTGAAAAAAATACATGAAGCGACATCTATGAAATTTAAATTTGGTGTGAAATTTAAATTTTAAATTAAGACAGTGATTTTCGTCGGTGACATTAAATATTAAAATTAATTTAGCAAATATTTGATAATTTTGAGAATTTTTTAAATAAATAAATAAGAAAAAAAATTGACATGTATCAAATAAAATTGACATGTATAAAAAAAAAAAAATTTTCAAAAAAAAAATTTTGAAAAAAATTTTCGAAAAAAATTTTTTTTTTTTTTTTTTTCAAATTTTTTAAAAAATCAATCTCTTTAATCGAAAAAATAACGATTTTAGAGAGAAAAAAATTTTTTTCATTGAAAAAATGAATAAAAATCACAAAATTGCTCATAATGGTGATTTTTGCAAAAACAAAGAATTTGAAGCTTCGGGGCACAATGAAAAAAAAATCGCAGCGCTTTGAATTTTTGAGGGATTTTAGGGGACACTTTGAGGTTGAAAAATTACCGACGATATCCTTCGTTCATCCATTTTATCCAAAGTTATACCAAGTTATCCAAATATCCTTAATTGTGCGAATTTTTGTCTTTTTTTCAGTCCGAGTTTTCAATTCAAAAAAAATTTTTTTTCTGAAATATGTTTACATTTTCTTATAGAGAATATCGTGCAGTTTTCAAAACCCTTCTTCGATTTCCTGTACGATCATTATTTCCGGAGTTATTGAATATCAAAGTCAAAAAGAACTTTTTTGCTTTGATTGACGATAACTCCGCGGCAAATCGTTGTACAGGCTTTTTGAATACGCCAAATTAAAGAGTATTAAATTCCCTAAAAGAGCTTTTGAACGAAACAATCAAAAAAATTTTTTTGAAGCCCGTGGACCTTTTTTTAGACGGGAAAAAATTTGGAAAAATTTTTTTTCGGCAGTTTTCTTAGGATTTCTCCAGACCTGGACATGACAAAAATTTTTCATGGTCAGATCTGAAAACTAGACACTTGGAGCTACAATTTGCTTTTTTTATTTTTTCTGTCCGATCATTTTCCTCGGAGTTACAGCTTGTTGAAAATCACCCAAAAATTTGGAATTTTTTTTATATCCCTTAATTTTTGTGACTAGTGTATTTAAACTTCATGTTAAAAAAAAATCAAGTCTTTTATCAAAAGTTGCCTTGGTGCTCGTACTCCCTTAATAATAAAACAATAGATATTTTCGATACATATGTGCGAAGTGAGGCATTCCCAGGACTTAAAAATTGAGACACGAGTCTAAGAAACGGCGCGTTTAAAATGGGGCCGAGTACGCAGATTACCCGTGGGGGTAAGTGTACTCGGTCTCATTGTAAACGTGTCGTTTCTTTTGGCGAGTGTCTCAATTAAGCCCTGTGAATGCCTCAGTTGGGACATATGTATCGAACAATATTTTTTGTAACGACTGCTTTCAAAGTTCAACAGAGAGAAATTATTATTTATAAAGAAATATTGTAATCAGCTGAACTACATCAGTTATCAAAATATTATAAATAATATAAATAATACACGCAGTTATGGTTAGTAGTTGCACAGAGTTGAACATATGATCGACAAGCTGCTATTCATGTGTGGTTATTTGGTATGCGCAGGCGCTAGAATTAGTCTCAGTATGCTTGATAGTTTGATTTGTAGTGGTAGTGGCGGACATATACATTCTATGAATCTTATACATTTATTGTAGTTAATTTTCATTCCCGCACGGTCAAGCAGTTGGAAAGTTTGACTCCGCCTACTTTCCCGCACGCTACTATAGTGTATGCAACCATCACGACAATACGCAACTTTGCGTTTGCTAAGCAAGGCTCGAATGTTGAACTTTGGAAGGAGGAGTTACAAAAAAGCTTTTTCCGTAGACACTTCTCCAGCTTACTTCTCTTGACGGAAGCGTTGCTGCATATTTTTCAAAAGTGATCACTTTTGAAAAATACGCGGCAAATATGTATATATCTGTTATATCGAAATATGTAAACCTTACCTTCTGAAGAAAAAACTTTATCAGTTTTGACAAATTCCATGGTGCGACATCTAACCAGTGAAATATAAACAAACGACTAACTACAAAACAACAATGGCGGTGAATGATGTTATTTTTTACATCAGTAGCAACAGCAAGAGCGGGCCCACTAACGGGCTGATTTTTTAATAGTTTCCATGGCACGCCGCAGTACGCCAAATGCTTAATATTGACTGTCGAAAAACTAACTATCGTGAGCTGATTTATGTCATGCAATGTCCATCCTTTCTGATATTTTCGGCTATGCTTCAACGGTGATAATTATCCCGTCGAAACTTCTGTATTAATATTTTTATTACATAAATATATTTATATGTTAATCAAGTAAGTTATTATGATTCTGTTGAATCTAATTATTTATCTTCACATTATCAACACTTGAATTTAATTACGCTGGTCCATAACCTCACTATTCAGTTGATCATAATAATTGTCACTGTCAGTTAATAATTATATTTTTTTTTTTTTCCAGGAGTTAGATCTATTAAAAAATGAATGAACAAAATTGTTCTCCGGGGGTCCAGGTTCAGATGGCAATCCCCTTACATCTGCAAAGACTCGAGAGAAGTTTGAATGTCCAGCCGTTTTTATCTCAAGTTAATCATCTTTTCCAGGATCATTTGCAGTAATTTTTTTATTTAATAGTTTTGGCAATAATTTTTTTTAATCATAAATTAATAATTTTATTTTTTAATGTTTAAATAGTGACGAAGGAGATAATGATGATAACGATGATGATAAGTCAATATCTTCAGACTCTTCCGATGGGTCTGATACTTATGCCAATAATACTTTAAATCACAAGGAAGGTAAATAGAAAAATAAATTATTAAAAATAATTTTACATGTAGAATTAAGAAACAATTAAGGGTATGAATTATTTTTATAATTGATTCGTTATATAAATTTCAAGAATTCTCAGGTATCTGCTAATTTATTACACTGACAAGTATTTGAGCTGTATTCGAAAATGCTCTATCTCCAGATATTTAACTAAGAATTGACCTTGTATCTTATGAAATATTGACATTTTAAAGATATAAGCCCATCTTGATGTTATACTCATCTAGACCTTTCATTTAAGTACCCACATCAATTTTTCATATATTTTATATATTTATATATATTATATATATATATATGTATATATGAAAAATATATCAAAAATGCATGTGGATATTCAAATCAAAGCTCTCAATGAGAGTAACGTCAGGGTGAGCTTATATCTTGAAAAATGTCAATAATTAAGAAATAACCTTGTATTCAGTGAACTATTGACATTTTTTCAAATATAAGATCATCTTGATGTTATAGTCATCAAGACCTTTCATTTGAATACCCACATCAATTTTTCATATATTTTATATATTTATATATATTATATATATGAATATATGAAAAATATATCAAAAATGTATGTGGGTACTCAAATGAAAGCTCTTGATGAGTATAACATTGAAATGAGCTTATATCTTTAAAAACGTCAATATTTAAGACAGTACAGTGCAATTAAACCAAAGTCATTATTTAATAAAGCAAAATTTTATTTATTTATACTTCACAATCGGCACTCAGATAGTGATTAAAGGTTGCTAGTAAATAATTTTTTTAAATAATTTTCTAGATCTAGCTTTGACACAAACTTGAATATTTAAAATAATTTTTAGAAGAACGGATGAACAAGCTGCGCCTGTACAACATGTCAAAAATAGGCGACGAAAGAAGATGGCTACAAGACATCCTTCTCTCCGAATCAGACACCGAAAGCGTGTCAGTATCCGAGTCCTCAGACACCGACGGTCCCATAACAGAGCAAGACTTCCAGGACATGCTTAAGTTCCACATTCTCCGTAAAAAATACCAAGGAAGATTCTACCAAAAACCTGAAAACATTCAGTATCAGTATTACGGCGCGGGTTTATTATCAAGCTGCGACCGGTTTCCAGAGCACCAGACTCTGATAGTAGGCAATAAGAAGAAAAAAGAAAAAAAGTCTGACAAAAAGCTCACCAAGGCGCGAAAAGATAAAACCAACCACACTAAATCCTCTACAAACATCTGCGACGAGCATGACTACCCCGAAAACGAGTGGGGCAAGATGACAGCATCAACATCTGGATCCTCTGCAACGACAGCAGCAACAACAATGTCAACATCAATGCTAAAAATAAAAAAAGAAGAAGAAGAGTTGGACGAGGCTGACCTGGACGGGATGATCCGTCATCAGCAGCGTTCTCGCAATCGCAAAAAGCACAACACCAAGAGCCCGGAAGTGATGGCGATGCGCCGCCGCAAGATCTGGGTGATGATGTCCAAGAAGGAGCTCGGCAAGGTCCAGCGTGCTAAAATAAACAACCACAAAGAGATGCTGATAAACTGCAAGAAGCTCTCGCAGAACTGCATGAAATACTGGAGGCAGAAGGCCATGCAGTCGCAGAAGAACATGAAGGAGACTCTTTGGCGCGCGAAGAGACTCACCAGAGAAATGCAGTCCTACTGGAAGCGCTACGACCGGGTTGAACGCGAGACAAGAAAGCGTTTGGAAAAAGAAGCCGAAGAGCAGCGAAAGATGGACGTGGAATTGATAGAGGCTAAGCGGCAGCAGCGCAAGCTAAACTTTCTGATCACCCAGACGGAGCTCTACGCCCACTTTATGTCCAAGAAAATCGGGAAAGTGTCTCCGGAGGAGCAGCTGAGGATTCTTAATCAACTTGATGAAGAGAAGAATCCTAGGTTGATTGGAATTGATGATTATGACAGTGAGTTGATGAAGCAGAAGGCCAAGAGGAATGCCACTGAGGCTTTTGATTACGAGAGAGCCCGCACGAGGCAGTTCGATAGCGCTGCTGGTGTTTCTGGAGTCTCCAGTGCACCAGCAGTGATATCTCCGCTAGTTTCCCAGGAACTTCGACTGAGCGATACACCAGAGAACCTCGAGCATCCTCAGCCCTCGATTTTCAAGGGAAACCTTAAAGGTTATCAGCTAAAAGGCATGAACTGGCTCGCTAATCTCTACGATCAAGGCATCAGTGGGATTCTCGCCGACGAAATGGGTCTTGGCAAGACTGTACAGTCAATTGCGTTCCTCTGCCACGTGGCAGAGCGCTACTCCGTCTGGGGACCCTTTTTAATCATATCCCCAGCTTCTACTTTGCACAACTGGCAGCAAGAGATGGCTAGATTCGTTCCCAGCTTCAAAGTGGTTCCCTACTGGGGAAATCCTCAAGAGAGAAAAATTCTAAGACAATTTTGGGACACTAAAGACTTGCACACTAAAGACGCTTCTTTTCATGTAGTAATTACCAGTTACCAGCTTGTAATTACGGATTACAAGTACTTTAATAGGATCAAGTGGCAGTATATGATCTTGGACGAAGCTCAGGCTATCAAGAGCACAAGTAGTATGAGGTGGAAATTACTGTTAGGATTCAGCTGCCGCAATAGGCTTTTGCTAAGTGGTACTCCTATTCAGAACAGCATGGCTGAGCTCTGGGCGCTGCTGCACTTTATAATGCCGACTTTATTTGACTCACATGATGAGTTCAACGAGTGGTTTTCTAAAGACATTGAGAGCCATGCTGAAAACAAAACTGGCATTGATGAGAAACACTTGTCCAGGTTGCATATGATTCTCAAGCCTTTTATGTTAAGGAGGATTAAGAAAGATGTGGAGAATGAATTGTCTGATAAGATTGAGATCATGGTTTATTGTCCGCTGACTACCAGGCAGAAGCTGCTTTATTCTGCGCTGAAGCAGAAGATCAGAGTTGAAGATTTGCTGCATTATTCTGTTGGCGCTGGTGGCAATGGGGAAAATCCTCCCCAGAATGATAAGAATTTTACGTCCAATCTTATGAATCTAGTCATGCAGTTCAGGAAAGTTTGCAATCATCCTGAATTATTTGAGCGACGTGATGCGAAGTCGCCCCTGTTTTTTAAGACAATTGATTATCAAGTCCCAGCTGTTGTTTATAAATCGCTAATTTTTGACTCGGTTCCTTCTAAAGAGCACTTGCTGTTTAATAAATTCAGTGTTTTTAATACTGAATATATTAATAAGTCTTTAAATCATGATACTGATGATTTTGTAGCGTTTACTAGACTAATGAATATTTCTCCAGTAGAATTGCACCGTATTTTTGTCTTCGGGATTCTTTATAGACTTTATCAGGCTTCGTTGTTAGAAAAACGAGTCAGGAAGATAAAATACTGGGAAGATTGGAGTCAGAGTGAAGAAAAGGAAGGTACTAAAAATTTGATGATAGTTCCCAGGCAATTGGTGCTGGAAGAGATGATTAGTATTGTGAATATTTCTGAGCTGATTTTTACCAAAAAGATTCTCCAGGGAGAACCTTTTTACACGCACACGACTCATGTGATCCACGCGATGCCAGAAACTATGGCTCATAGAATTATAAGGAGCACCAAGCATGTTTCTAATACTTTGAAGTTGAATACTGTTCGAGTGAATACTGTTCCTGGAGTTAAGCCTCAGATTTGTGAAGAGAGCAAGTTTGTGCTCCTCCCGGAGCACCGGCATCTCCAGCGGGCGGATATTACAAGGGAGTACCAGCCCACGAGTATTCCAAGGTTCTTGTGTGATACTAATGAGAAGATTAAGGCCAGTCCGAGGAAGCTGTATGTTAGTAGTAGTTCGGCGGCGTATGCTTGGAAGAGACACGAAGCTTGTGCTGGGCCTTTTGGGCAGAATGTACTCTGGACTGGGTTTGAGAGGACGCTTAGGAATTTTGATACTGATGTGGAGAGTTTTCATAAGACTTCTGTGTCGCAGATTAATATTCTTGATAATTCTCCGGCTTCGATTGTGGATTTTTCTTATGAATCTTTGGGAGGACTCGCTGCTTGCCATCCTGTTAATGGGTGGTCGAATATTATTGTTCCAGGTATGGTTTTTTTTTTGTTGAGCATTTTTAACTGAAGTTAAAAGACATTAGTTTTTTTATAATACTATTAAGAGAAAAAAGAAATTTAGGCTGTAATCGAAAATACTCTATTTCTAGATGCGTAATTAAGAAATGACATTGTATCTTGTGAACTATTGACATTTTTAAAGATATAAGCTCATCCTGATGGTACACTAGTCAAGAGCTTTCATTTGAGTACCCACATCAATTTTTCATATATTTTATATATTTATATATATATTATATATATGTATATATGAAAAATATATAAAAAATGCATGTGGATACTCAAATGAAAGCTCTTGATGACTGTATCATCGGGATGAGTTTATATCTTTAAAAAGGTCAATAGCTAAGAAATTACATTGCAATTTAACAAAAGTGCTAGTTTTTTAGTCATTAAATTATTGGAGAAAAAACCTTTATACATTGAAATTTATAAAAATTTTTAGAAGCAGTTTTTTATTGTAATGAATTTGTTATAAAAATTTAATTTTGTCGGGTAGCTTTAGTATTTATTATTTTATTAAGTTTTGGAAATTTTTTATTTATTTAAGTATTTTTTATTTTTTAGATAAACAGACGTTGGTGACAGATGCTGGTAAATTAGCTGTCTTAGATAATCTTTTGCGAAGATTGAAAGAACAAGGACACAGAGTACTTATTTATTCTCAAATGACTAAAATGATTGATTTGTTAGAGGTTTGTTTTTTTTTTTTTTTATTTATTTTTAAAAATTTAGTAAGTGAGTTTAAATTTTTTATTAATATTCTATGAAATGTAAATAATAATTATTTAAATTTAGAGCTTCTATTTTTGGTCATAAAAATTAAATTAAAATAATTATTAACAGGAATACATGTATCATCGTAAACATACATTTATGAGATTAGATGGATCATCAAAAATCTCCGACCGACGAGACATGGTAGCTGATTTTCAAAAAAGGTAATTATAAAAAACAATTCTTATCCTTTCATTGTAATAAAACAATCACCAATATCAATTGTCCGTAATTATAATTGATATTACTTGCACAGCTCTCAAATATCCATTTATTCATCCAGAATATTAATTAAATATTAATTTACGAGTAATAAAATCTCCGGTGATTCGAATTTCATCAATTGTTTGATTTATAAATGAAAAATAATCCGAGAATACAATTTAAATAAAAATATATAAATCTTTTTATAAAACTATTATAAAATCGTTAAATATTTTTCAGCCCCCTATTGAATTGAATACCTTCAACTGTCGCATTAATTTGCATACAGATATTCAAATATATTTTTTGCTCGGATTATTTTTTATTCGTCGGACTATTCAAATTCACATACGGGTTTATGTTTCAGAGCCGATATATTTGTTTTTCTATTGAGTACCAGAGCCGGTGGTTTGGGAATAAATTTAACTGCTGCCGACACTGTAAGTATAATATTTATTTTATTATTTATTAATTCAAAACTTCAACAAAAAATTTAATTTATTATTTTTTAACAGGTTATTTTTTACGACAGTGATTGGAATCCGACAGTCGATCAGCAAGCTATGGACAGAGCTCATAGATTAGGACAAACAAAACAAGTAACTGTGTACCGACTTATTTGTAAAGGAACTATTGAAGAGAGAATTTTGCAACGAGCAAGAGAAAAAAGCGAGGTATAAAATTATTTAAGAACAATTTATTAATTAATTTTAAATTATTATTATTATTATTATTATTATTTATATTATTAAGAGAATAAGTAAAATTTTAGGGCCAGTGTATTAATATGGTAAAATGGGTTTTAATGATTAAATTTGCATTCGAAAATGCTCTATCTCTAGATACATAATTAAGAAATTACCTTGTATCTCGTGAACAATTGACATTTTTTAAGATATAAGCTCATCCTGATGTTATACTCATCGAGACCTTTCATTTGAGTACCCACATCAATTTTTCATATATTTTATATATTTATATATATTATATATATGTATATATGAAAAATATATCAAAAATGCATGTGGGTACTCAAATGAAAGCTCTTGATGAGTCTAACATCAGGATGAGCTTATATCTTAAAAAATGGCAATAATTAAGAAATGACATTGTATTTTGTGAACAATTGGCATTTTTAAAGATATAAGCTCATCCTGATGTTACTCTTACCAAGACCTTTTATTTGAGTACCCACATCAATTTTTCATATATTTATATATATATTATATATATATATGTATGTATGAAAAATATATGAAAAATTGATGTGGGTACTCAAATGAAAGGTCTTGATGAGTGTAACATCGGGAGGAGCTTATATCTTTAAAAAGGTCAATGGTTCAGAAAGTAATGTGCAATTTAACAAAAATCAATAATGTAATAGAGCAAAATTTTATTTTTTTTAATACAAGTAATAATTTTTTTTTAATTTTAGATCCAGCGAATGGTAATAAGTGGAGGAAACTTCAAACCAGACACTCTAAAGCCAAAAGAAGTTGTTTCTTTGTTGTTGGATGATGAGGAGATAGAGGCTAAATGTACGTATGCCAAAAATAATTGCTGGTAATAATAACTATCTCCGTAGAGCAAGTAAATAAATCTTGATTTTTAAGATTGATTATTAGCATTTAAAAATATATGATAATTAAAGTGATAGGCATAAGCAAAATCAGAAGCTTTACATATACATTATCTACCGGTTTATGTACATATATATATATATATATTGTATTTCAGACAGTCAACGAAGCGAAGAGAGAAAACAGTACACAGAGGATTCTCGAATTGAGCCAAGTATACATCATAAGGAGAAAGACCGGAAGAGGAAGTTAACCGCGCTTCCGTTCAAGGTAAAAATTCACGCCCTTCAGGGTGGGCTATTTAATGCTTCTTTCTCCCCTAAATTTTTTTCTTACTGATCGTATCGATATTAAAAAAATAAAATATTTAACTATTTTACTTTTTTACTTCTAGGATCCGAAAAAACCGTGTCTAGAGAACAATTCCGTTGAAAAAGTAAATACATGCACGGCAGATGCTAGTAATGAGTATTCCGGTACTCTGACAACTGCAACTACTACTATTAATACAGCTACGACTACGAGTTCTACTACGGCTAGTAACGATTTTTCACAGTCGGTGGATACTACTGAGGACTACCGAGCTTCACTTAGTCCTGTTAAATCAGAGGTTTTTATTTATTTATTTATTCATAATTTTATATTGCGAATTAATATTCTGATTATGAAAAAAAAATCCCTTCATCTAAATAATCATTCTAAATATAATTTAAAAAAGTTTTTAATTAATAAACGGGATAATTCATAAGAGTTTTTTAACAAGTCAATTTTTTAAAAATATAAGCTCATCCCGATATTAGACTCATTAAGACCTTTCATTTGAGTACCCACATGCATTTTTGATATATTTTTCATATATACATATATAATATATATAAATATATGAAAAATTGATGAGGGTACTTAAATGAAAGGTCTTGATGAGTGTAACATCAGGATGAGCTTATATCTTCAAAAATGTCAACAGTTCACGAGATACAAGGCCATTTCTTAATTATCTATCTAATAAATAAATAAAATAAAAATAATTTATCATTAACTAGGACGAAACAAGCAACGAAGGGCTAGTAGTTGACGTAGACAACAACTCAACATCAGGAGGAAGCTCGGCTTCCCTGTCCCCGCCAAAAGTCGCTCGTTTCAACCATCACCTGAACTACGGCATAGCCTCCACCGGAATGAGAATCAGACCCTCAATGAGAGGAACCAGCAAGCGTGGCCGACCTCGAGGATCTCGACGGGGAGGACCAATTGCAGGAAAAGGTAGAGGATTGATGCTTCATCCTCCAGGTAAATCCTCCGCTGGTACCCTGCACTCTGTATCTTCATCCACGTCTGGTGATAACTCTCAAGGTACTAAACAGATAAATAAATACATTATATTATATATAATTCCTAACCAAATACTTTAAAGTATAAAAATGGTTTAAAGTATTAAAGAGATTAACAAGAGACGGATTGATCGGATTATTCAAAAAAAATCTATTGTACTTACAGAGAATAGAAAGGTTATTTGTAATAATTTTTCAGGCGTAGAAATCCACAGTGAATTCGTCACGTTATTTAATTCGCGCATTTAATCTTCCCCTAGCAGTTGTTACGTGCACTTGTTACTCGAGGAAATTCTCATGGGGGCTCCCAGCTCCCATTATCATCCTTTTGGGGTGTGCAAAATGCTTTTATATATTTTAACCGGAGAAATGAACCCTGGCTTTTTTCCTGGTGAAAAAAAATACAGTGCAGAGAGTTAAAATTCCCTTGTGAGATGATATGTGCTTTAGCGCACATGTGCGCTCCTAGTAATGATAATAGTAACTGTAAGAGCAAGTGTAGCAAACATTTGTGGCTGACATCTCCCCACATTCGATATATATCCCCCATAGACTATTATATTATATTCTTCTCTAGTTTATTCTTACCAGACATAGTCGCTCGCCCGTTTTTTACCCGACGTATTGTGCGATTATTTAAACGTCCCCTTTACTTCTGTCATCTCCAATCTACCGTTTTGTGTGCGAGCTACTATACTAATCTTTAAACGGATCAGCTCTTTTTATCATATAGATATATATACATATTATTTTACTCACCTTTTATTTTACTAGTCTGTTTGATATTAAGCCAATATTTTTTTTTATTAACTTGATAGATAGAATTTTAAAGCCCTATTTTATACAACCCTTCCAGGCCAATAGAGTGTTCTTCTTTTTGATATTTTTTGTGATTAGTAATTTTTGCTCTTGATGGTTGATATGAAGCAAGATTTAAAGTAAAAGATGTCTTCTGATTTGGGTGTATAGGTGGATTGGATGGTGACGGATGACGGATGGCGGGTAGGGGGTAACGAAGAAATATAAGACAGGGGGCCTCGTGTTACGATCTTCCAGCTAAAGTAAGCGTGTGTCTGTGTGTGAGTCGTCGATAACGCAGGTGCATTGCGATATAGGCAGCTGCAATTATTGTATACGTTCCTTTTAAGTTTTTGATGTGTGCTACTCATGTACTGGCTTCTGAATCTTATTTATCACATTTGTCAATTTTTATATTTCACTTTCTTATTTTTATTAATGATTTATTTTCTTTAATCGTTGATCACTGATCCATTTTATTCACTATTTTATTCCTAAAAAAATTTTTTTAATAACAATAATAATAATACTATTGACCTTTTTAAAGATATAAGCTCATCCTGATGTTACACTCGTTAAGAGCTTTCATTTGAGTACCCACATCAATTTTTCATATATTTATAAATATTATATATATGTATATATGACAAAAATATCAAAAATGCATGTGGGTATCCAAATGAAAGCTCTTGATGAGTGCAACATCGGGATGAGCTTATATTTTTAAAAAAGTCAATGGTTCACAAGATATTTGTTTAAATGCCCTGTATTTTCTTGACTATTGACCTTTTTAAAGATATAAGCTCATCCTGATGTTATACTCATCAAGAGCTTTCATTTGAATACCCACATGCATTTTTGATATATTTTTCATATATACATATATATAATATATATAAATATATGAAAAATTCATGTGGGTACTCAAATGAAAGGTCTCGATGAGTGTAACATCGGGATGAGCTTATATCTTTAAAAATGTCAATATTTCACCAAATATAAGGTCATTTCTTAATTATGTATCTAAAGATAAAGAATTTTCGAATCCAGCCTAAATATTTATCATAATAAATTGACATAATGTCCTGAAAACAAAATTTTTCTTATTTTTCATAATAATATAGATTTTTAGTAGTATTTTTCTTATTATTATTATTAAAGGTTTTGAAGATGGAAACATTAGTGAAGTAAATACCGTAGGCCGAGGGTCCTTATCAATCCGCAGAGGACCAGGACGACCGCGACTAAGACCCGCTGGACCCGGTCACCAGGGTCACCGAATTCCCGGACACCCCAAAAGGATCCAGCGTCCATTACCAGTCCCTCTGAGTCTCAATCAGCTGTCTGTACAAAGAAAATCCCCGATCAGCGACTCAGTTCCGTCGTCCTCATCAGAGTCACGGCCTTTTGGATTCTACACCCAGCAAAGATCTCAGCAAGATCCTTAATACCCCAATAGTTAGGCGCATGTACATACAAACACCTGTAAAAAATTAATTATACTTTAATCAACAATTTTTTTAATTAAAGTTTATTAATTCGATAAACTATTAGTTAAAATGACGAAATTTATTTAAATATTAAATTTTTAAAAATGAAAAATAAAATTTTTTTTTCTTTAAAAAAACACACTTAGTTATATAAGTACATGTTATACTTTTATCATCTGTAAATAGGTTACATACAAATATAAAAAAAAGATCAATTATTTATTTAAATAAATATTAAATTTGTAAATTATTCATTTTTTTTTAAGAGTAAGCGCATAAGCCGCAGCGACCTCATTGTAATTTTGGCGTTAATCCAAAACTTTAAGAATAGATTTTAAAAAGCATGCATTTATAATAATAATAATAATAATAATAATCATAATAATAATTTTTGTTTGAAATTTTATTATTATTATTATTATTTCAGAAAAAAAAATTACTCAGAATAAAAATAATTTTCATAAAAAATTTCTTAATCAAAATAAAAATTTGACACTTGCAATTTTATTTCAATTAAAAAAAAAAATTAATTCTGATAAATTAATAAATATAATTTTTGAATTATAAATTTAAAAATAATTGGTTTTTTGAGAACATTTTATTTTTTTAATTAAAATAAAATTACAAGTGTCAAACAACTAGGCCAGTGTCAATAACTGGGTCTGCTACCTTAATAGATTTTTCAGAGCCATATAAAATTTTTAAATTATTTGGTAGCCTATTATAAAATTTAATATATTAATATATTTATTATTATAATAATAATGCATATAAATATGTCACTTGTAAATATCATTAAAGGGTAATGATATTTGGGTGTAGTGGTCCTTGTAAACATGGACATCAATGGCAGGTGTAAAACTCGATAAAAAAAAATAATAATTTCACTCCGAGTAAGATCAAGTACATTTATATTATAAAATAAATATACGAGAAATTTAAATGCCGTTTGGCATCGAAATTACCAGACCAGCCAATCAGTAATCGGATAAATTATTGTTTGGTATTTTTTTTTGGTCTGAATGTCCTACGACCTCGCTCGAGTGTCTATTCTCGATGCGGGTCGTATAGTAGTCGACAATGCCATATTTACCTGCATACCACTTATTTTCACCAATATAAATAATCACATTAAATAATGACAATAATAACAACAAACGAAACGGGGATAGCAGTACATTTATATTAATGATTACGGAACTGGTGCGCTTGCACCTGCTCGTTGTAAAAATAATCTTCCAAAATCATTCAATACCATCAACAATAAACATCAAATTAAATGGATTATTTAATAATGAATTATCATTATTATTATTGTAATTAATGGTGGAAATTTAACTAATTACCCAAATTGCCAATTTATTAATGTCCAGCTTTATTACGACCTAGTAGTTGAGTTACTCCACATGTACCTCTAATTAATATATATACATGTGGATGTGTACTGTATATAATAATAAATGCATAACTTATTAGCGCGTCCGGTATGTTGGCCAGTTCGCACGTGCCTAATGAATAAATAATAAATAAAGAAGACGAACCAAGGGGTCGGTAAACTCCTTAGGTGGCAATAAACTTCATGCAAACTGTTACTTTACCGGAACAGTCGTTTTATTTTACGTATGTGTGTTCTGGATTGTTTCTTCAATATGTCATTTCTTCTTTTCAATGTTTTATTTACTACTTTGACTTCTTTTTATAATAATTATTTTCATTCAAGGGTAATTAATTAAAGACTGTCATTAAAATACTTCACCTTAAAATTTTATATTCTTCATTGATGTTTTTTTGCATCTTCTCAAATTTATTAAACGCTTCTTTTTATGAGATTAAAGTTAGCAGTCACTTGACAATTTTTTTTTAACAAATAAATTTGTTCCAAAAAAATTGCATTTTTAATTTTTTTAAATTTCTATGTCAATTTTTTTTCGCTATAATTTATTTGTTAAAAAATTTTTTTAAATTATTAAATATCTCCTGAATTTTGATTTCTTTTTTGAAAAAAAATTATTTTTAAACACTAAATAATTTTTTTAAAGAAAAATTTAATTATTTTGACAACTTTGTTTTATTTTCTTCAAAAATTTGTTATTATTATTATTATTAAACACCTTAGATTATAAAAATAGCTTAATTCTAGAACATCTAGCCAAATTTTTGACAGTTTGATAATAGTGGCCACCTCGTGGCGAAAATTAGAAACAAAATTCAAAATTTTATCAAACTGAAGCTAGCTGACAGCTGCCATTTTGTAATTCTTACAACAATTAAATCACTACCTAACAAACATTCATGTTTGACACATCTATAAGTAAAATTTTTTTACAATAATTTATTTATTAAAAAAAATTCTAAAAAGTATGAAGCTAACTTGAGTATTCTTAAATTTAATAATTAAAAACAAAGTTATAGTGTTGATTGACATTTTTTGCAAGTCATTTAATTAAAAAATAAATTATTAAATACTAAATAGTTTTCTTTGGAGAAAAATTAAGTAAGTTTTAAAAGTTGATGTTGTTTTCTTCAAAAACTTGTACCTGCAATTTTATTATTAAACATCTTGGGTTAATGATAGAAGATAGAGCCAAATTTTTGACAGTTGGATATTGTCGGCCACCTGGTGGCGAAAATTAGAAACAAAATTTAAAATTCAAAATTTTATCAAACTGAAGTTAGTTGACAGCTGCCATTTTGTTATTCTTACAATAATTAAATAACTAAACAAAACATTAATTTTTGACACATTTACAAGTAAAAAAATTTTGTATAATAATTTATTAATTGAAAACAATTCTAGAAAGCATAAAGCTAACTTCAGTATCCTTAAATTTAATAATTAAAAACAAAGTGATAGTGTTGATTGACATTTTTTGCGTCATTTAATTAAAAAATAAATGATTAAATATTAAATAATTTTGTTTGAAGAAAAATTAAGTGAGTTTTTAAAGTTTGTGTTGTTTTCTTCAAGAACTTGTTCCTGCAATTAAAAGAAGACATCTTGGATCATAAAATAAGGTTAGTAATAAATTAATAAAAATTTTGACAAAAAAAAAGAATGACAATTAACAGTGACTTGTATTTAATGAAAAGTACTTAATAATTGTGTTGGAGTAATTGATAAAAATAGTTAGGATGTCTTACAATAGAAAATAAGTAAATAAGGTAAGTAGTAAAAGTATGACAAGTAAAAAGTGGTGTTGGTGTTAGTCTTAGAATCGGCATTGGCGTCGGCCGAGAAGGCACCGAGCGTACTTCCTGTATATTTACCGGAAGTCGCGAGTCAGAGACTCAACTCATACATACAACACTTATATATCTAGTGGAGTACTCGCTACTCGACTCAAGAGTTTACTTGGCGTTACGCTTCCTTACGCGTAGCGTATTTACCGTCGTACCGTCTCGGTCCCAGTTTGTTTCTGTTTTCTGTGCTACTACTTCTTCATAACCTCCATACAACTTCATAATACTACAACTATTATATTATATTATTATTGTTGTTATTATTACTACTAAAAACTACACAAGTAACGAGTAACGACGTAGTTGGGTTAGCACGGCGTACACCCCTTATACGAGTACAACGACAAGGCGGATGATGCCAGAGCTCAATAAGAGTTAAGATTGGGGAGGACAGTGTAGAGGAATAAAGAATAAGGAGAGTCGGTAAAGCCTCCGCTCCCAAGCGCAACCATTTCAAGGACAGCTTGCTAGTCATTTTTTTTAAATTAAATAATATCAAACGCAATTCTAAATTCAGACTTGCTATTTTATTTTTGTTTTTAGGTTAGGTTTTACTCACCTGTCAGAATTGCATCGCTCAGGATTTATAATACTAAAGTTAGCCATGAAAATTAAGTTAGCTGGCATCTAAAAATTTTTAGAATTTTTTTTTATTGAAAATATTGTTGCAAAAAAATTTCATTTGTAAAAAACTGTAAGTGCAATTTTAAAAAAATATTTTTTTGCTCTAATTTAATTTTTTTATTGTCATTTGATTAATAAATTAGAAGTAAAAAATTTCATGCATTATTTTTCCAATTTTTTACAATTAAAATTTTTTTTTAATCATTTTTTCAGTAAAAAAAAATTCTAAAAATTTTTAGATGACTAACTTGATTTTAAGTCAGGATTTTGGAGGCTGGAATATTTAACAGCTGATTACTTTTTATATTTTTATAATTAATTATGGTGAAAAAAATATTTTTTTCAAAATTGCACGTTTAATTTTTACTTAAAAAAATTTTTTTTAACATTTTTAATAATAGTAAAGTCAGCTGACAGCTGTCAAATTTTTTAATTGTTATAAAAAATTAATTATATAAAAAAAAATGATTGTAAAAATTTTTTTATAATAATTTAATTATTATAAAATTCTAAAAAAATTTTAAATAAGATTTAATTATAAAAAAAAATTAAAAAGCAATTTTTAAAAATTATTTTCTTTTTTCAATTTAAAAATAAAATTGTTAGCTGATTTAAATTAGTTAAAAAAAAAATTATTTTTATTAATTTAATAATAAAAATCCAAAAAATTTGTACTAAACCTTGAGGATGAGGATGTGGATAATTTTTTATTCTGGGAAACGGTAATTTGAATATAGAGCAAAAAGTACCATTGTTGATGGATGAAAAGAGCTGAATATCAAGCTTGAACCAAAGATGAATGTCGAGTACAGTGGTATAGTAATGAAAGAAAGGAAAAGGTGGTTATAGGGTGTAAGGTACCGTAGCAAGGTATAAGGTATAAGGTAAAAAGGAAAAACTTCGGTGGGTTATTCTGAGGACTGGGAAGAAGACACAAGTTGAGCGTATGGGGGCAAGTGGCGCGTGGCAATAAGTATCGGATACCGCCAGATGTTATGAGAAGAACGGCAGCTGTCCCTCCTCTTGGCATCTTGGGCACATCGATGGCGTCGCGCGAGTTGTCTCTCAAAGCTTACAGACCTAGAAGAAAAAAA